CTGGCTGAAATTCAACTGGCACCCTCGCTGGGTGTTTTTAAAAGCCTTTTAAAACTTGGCTCTTCAGGCAGGCCTTCCCTCCAGTCAGTTAATTGATCCCTATCCTTCTTGCTTGAGTTATGCCATCTTGGTTATATGCTGCTTAGAAATAGGTGTTAAAACTGTGTTTTAGATGATTTTATATTGTTTATATTGTTCTGTTTTTATTCATGTAAGCCGCCCCGAGTAGACATTGTCTAGAGGGGTGGGGTAATAAATAAATAAATAAATAAATAAATAAATAAATAAATAAATAAATATTAGCATATCCTTATCTGAATTAGAAGTAGCAAGAGTCAAAACATCCTCTCAAGACAAGTCAATGTGAAGTTAAGTTCCCTGAAACCAGTGGGAAATAAAAATGAAGTTCAAGGTGTCATCAACTGGACATGAAAGTATTATGCATTAGGAGCCTCATGGTACAGTCGTTAAACTGTAGTATTGCAGTGAAATCTCTGCTCATAGTCAATGTTTGATCCCAGCGGATTCTGGCAGCCGACTTGAGGTTCACTCAGCCTTCCCTCCTTCCAAGGTCAGTAAAATGAGTACCCAGCTTGGTGGGTGTGGGTGGGGGCAATGTGTAGCCTGCATAATTAACTTGCAAACCGCCCAGAGAATGCTTCAAGTGCTGTGGTGGAGTAATTATTTTAAGACACCTCTCCAACCTTTCCCAAGTTCACATATGTATGTACAAATGTGTGGAAAGGGGAAGGGACAGCTTTATGAACAAAGGCATGCAGAACTAGTACAGGTAAAAAGAGACTGGTGCATGCAGCCTTTGCTGAAAGTGCTATGATCAAATTACACCCAATTAATAAACCATCACTAGCGATGCTTCCAGTGTGGTGTTTCATTTAGCGATACCCATATGCTAGCAGAATGTCCTCTGTGAAGCAGAAGAGATTCCTCTTGTTCCGATGCTCTCTCAAAATCTGCTTCAAAGGCTTGGAAGGCCCTCCAGATTTTGGAAGGCAGGGGCAGGGTGGACACAGGGGGCTGCAGTCTTGCACACCCTGGAGATAGCCCGGCGTTTTGCTGTCATCCATAAGTCCTGCTAGAAATATTCTCAATACAGTATACTTTTGCATCATAAAAATACACTCAGGCAGCTGAAAACGTCCTCCAGAACATGCATCGCAGTAACTTCAGATGAGAAGGCACGATGCTTTCCAGGCAAAAAGAAGTGCCATCTCTCTTTCCTTTGACGGAGGAAGCTATTAGAGGAAGCAACTGAAAAATGTGATCTTTTCCCAAATTATTCCCCTTCTTCACAGCTGCAAAGATGAGGGCATTTTCTTTGTGTTCTCTCCCTATTCCCGCAATCAACCCAGGAGATCCTTTCAGCCCTAATGCAATCTTACGCATGTTTATTCAGACTGTCAGTCTCCCTGGGTTGAACAATTACAGCTTGCCCCCAGGCAGTGGTGTGTAAGATAGCAGACTTGCAGATGGATTCTGTCTATTTTCGCACCCAAGTCTCCTTACCCAGACTCTTTGTTATATTTCACCCTAGCACAAGGTTGCCCAACTTTTGATCCACAAGCTAGGGGTGTCCTCCAAGGAACTGTTCAAGGGATGTTGGCAAGTATTCGCGAAGGCTTTCACGGCCGGGCTGTTCAAGGGATGTTGTCAAGTCTTTGGGTCCAGGTTGGTGTCTTCGGTACCAACTCCCAACACCCAGGCCCAACTCCAAGTCCTTATTAAACAGAAGGTGGGTGGGTTCTGAGTCATGAGTTCTGTCCGAGTCATTGAAAAAACAACAACCCGGGGTCAAGTCCAAGTCAAGTCACCGGTGTAACTTAAGTCTGACTTGACAGCGAGTCCCACGAGTCAAGTCCCAAACCTTCAAGTCCCCATCACTTGCTGCTTCAGGTTGTACCATTGCCACTCATGTCTCCCTTGTCCTATGCTTTTGCTTCTAAATCCTGGCCAATTGCCCCCCCCCCCACATTCCTGCTCTTGCAGGGGTTGGGCCCTTGAGGTCCTCTTCAACAATAAAACTCGCTAATGCTGTGATCCCCTTTCCCTCCATCAGTGCCATCCCTTCCACCACTGATGAGAGATGAATTGGTGTGTGTGTGTGTGTGTAAGCTCATTAATGTGTGTGACCCCATTAATGCTTAGCTGCCCTCTTGAGGTACAAGCTTTTCCTGGGGGGGGACACTTCTTCTGATTCTAAATGCCATTGGAAGAGCACTGTTGTTATTCAAGGCTTGGAGAGGGACAGTTTGATCTATTTATCTTTATTTGAAAGGGCTGGATAATAAGAAGGCCTGGACATGCAAGGTTTAGTTAAGTTGCATGTATGGGGTGGTCATGGGTAGAGATTTTTTAAAAGGACCTTAAAATGTTTAGTAAAAATTTGGAAAACCTATTGCTTAGCACAGTAAATCACAACTAGAGTAGGCCTATTTGAATCATTGGAATTGCCTGTACAAAATCCCCACTAAATCAATGGAGTTGACTCGCCAAATCCCCACTGGTTCAATGGGCCTACTCCAACACAGTTTGCTATGCTAAGCAGCAGGATTGCTGATCTTTAGTGTCTACTATAGAATTTAAGTAGGCACAGGTTTGGCCAATAGCTTTCAGGGGCTGGCATTCTCCCTGCCATCACAAAGGACCAGACAGTGTGCACTTTCTTGTGCCTAATTGGGAAACCAACAAATAATGTTTTGCACTTCTGGTTCCCAGGCCCAGAATGTAGTTAGTTACTATTGTTGTTACTGTTTCTGAAAGTAATTTTCTACTAAAACATTTTTAAAACAGTCTTAAGTTTTTCATTCAACAGCACATGCCAGTCCTTGAACCATATGATAAAGCTTCAGTGTGATTTAGCAAAGCCACATAAACTTATGCCTATAACTTTTTTATATAAGTTATAGTCTTCTGGGATTAAAGCAAAGTGTGCTGCTTATATACCACTCCACAGCACTTAAAGCACTCTGGACGGTTTACAGGCTACACATTGCACTCTCCCCCAGCAAGATGGGCATTCAGTGTACCAACCTCAGAAGGAAGGCTGGATCAACCTTGAGCTGGTTACCTAAGCCTGGCAGGACTGAACTCAGGTCATGAGCAGAGTGTTGACTGAAATACTGCAGCTTAACCTCTGTACCATGAAGCTCAGGAATAATACTGATGCTTTAGTTTAGCTTTCCAAATGGGGTTGCAGTGTGTAAGTTCCAATTTCACAGAGTAAGCAAACTTGGAAACCAAGCTCACATTTACATTCCGATGACCAAACCCAAAACACATGTCTTTCACCACTTGAGGGAACAGTACATCTCAATACACGTTAAGGGTCTTCTCTAGTTCGACCTTGAGTGCCCAGACCTGTGGACCAGCCCCACCATTAGGCAAAGTGAATTATAGCAGTGGCTTCAGACAACACAACTGGGGTGTAATGAAAGGCCCATAGCTTACTAAACATCTACACGGAAGTTGCATTTTTATGACTGGGAAAGAAAGAGATGCTTAGGAGATTGTCTGACCCCTGTGCCGGGAAAGAAAGAAATGCTTAGGAGATTGTCTGACCCCTGTGCCAAAAATAACTTGGGAGCTTTTGATCCTATGCCTCTTGACCTGGGTGTGTAACAGGGTGTCATTTACTGCTGCATCTCAGGCAGCAAAATGTCTTGGGTGTCTTGACAAAAATGTTCCATTCATTTTGTTTGGGGTGCAGATTTCAAAGATCTGTCTTGCTGAACCAACTGATCTTGCCTAGTTTTTCTTCTTCTTTGCTCCTTGTTACTCATCCACATGCATGACATATTTTAAAGGAACGATGCATTGACAGAATGTTTTGGTTGCTGCGATCTACATACCATCATCTGACGGGTGACCTGCAGCCTGAAATGCGGCTCTCACTTTGTCAGCTGTCCCATCTCAGGGAATCGGACAGCTGTTGCCTGATACCCCAGGCAGCTTCTGGCATGCTCTGTGTTTCTAGCAATAGACTGGTTACGCTGACTCTGTGGCTTGGTTAAAAATGGTCTGCAGCTTCCCCAGCACTGAATAAATCTTCTCACCTTGTACAGTGCTTCGTATTAATTGAGCCAGCACTCTGCCCCTTTTTAATTGCAAAAATTGAGGGAGAGAGAGAGAGAGAGAGAGATCATAGACTTTTCTGTAGTCCAGGAATTATGAAGAAGAATGCTGAAGGTCAATAAGTAACACACAAATCTCTGTAGTTACAAACAACAAAAGGCCTGCGGGGGCACAGTTTGGGGAGAAGCTTCAGTGTGAGTGTGTCACGAGAGTCACTCCAACTTCTCCAAATATATTCTGACATAACTTAAGGCATAAATTACAAGTGGAAAGAAGTAACATCTTTAAACAGCCTTTACCATGGATCCTTTTTTCTTCTTCTTTTGCATGTCTTATCATAATCAGAGATTCAGATGTTCTTGATATATAATCAGGGCTTTGAAAAATTACTTTTTTTCTGGCAGCCTTGCTGGCTGGGGGATGCTGGGATTTGTAATCCCCAAAGTAACTTTTCCAAGCGCTGTCAAGTCTGGAACACACGAAGATTGCAACGCTTCCAGCATGCCTTGACAAACAAGCTTACTAAAATACGACAATATAAACATTTCAAACTTCGTTGATTTCGTTTTGTCCTGGTTTTATTATATAACGGTCTCTTGTGTCAGCGGGATCTCCGTCCTGGTGCGTCTGTATTGTACCTGTGTTTTGTCCATGACATCTCTTCTGGCGAGAGGTACTTCAAGGATGGAGAGCTGGTTTGCAATAAGGCGTCAGCCTGGACGTGGCCCATCAGGTCCTCTCAAGCGTTACCCGTCTAGGACAGGCTGGTTCAGGCGTAATGTAAACACTGTTTCGTAAGGTAAACACTCACTTGAGGAAAGCTGGAATTTTTCCTTTTTCTTTCTTTTTCCCTCTTCTGAGAATGTGACACTTCATGACCACTCTAGACATTTAATAGAACCATGGCTACAGAGGGCAAAGAGGAACAGGAGTTTAAAGTTACCAAACTAGGGGCGTGTCACCCTTCTCTCCCTCTCTTTCTGTGTCTGTCTTTCTCTCATGATAAACTCAATGGGGGTGTCTATTTTTAACCTCGTGTTCTTTCCTTCTGGCAGAGCAATCAGCGCTTAGCTGAGCCCTTTCACGGAATGAGGCCAAGTCACCCGGTTTGTTGCCTTTTCCATTGACCAGGAGATTCACACGGCTGCAGAGGGGGAACCGTGTCACATGAAGCCCCGTTCTGTTGCCCTCACAACACAATGTCGAGCACGGACGGTTCTGAGGGCAGCCCACCATCCACAACAACAGTTAGCTCCGTTCTTGTTCAGGCTGGCAACTGCAGGATCATCATCGCTTTACTGAAGGTAAGCTTCTTTGGGGTGTCCCCTTCCACTTTTGATGACCCCCTCGGTGTTTCATCAGTTCTGTCCACACTTCTATAATTGAAGCAGAGAAATCAAAGGCGTGGATGCTGTGTTGAATGATACAAACCTGTGAACTGGTAAACAACAAATCAAGAAGAGTTTCGGTTTTTTTAAATGGCCAATTATAGTAGAAAGGCTGTTTTCTAATTATTTCATGTGGAATGAAATACTTTAAAAAAATCAATTTAGTATCACTATAAATATTTATTCAGGGCAGTCCAATAGAAGTATTTTTTTTAAAAAAGAAATGTCACTTTAAATGAAAGAAATCAAATAAACAGCAGGGCAGCTCAGAGAGAAACATTACTATTTACTCAATATTATTCTTTTTTTTTCTCTGAGTGTAATTATATGGATTCAAAATCTATAACTCTGTTTTTCTGGATTTTTTTCACAACTGCATCCAGAATACACGGGTGTGCCATAATCTGATGCAGAGATGGTGGATTATTTGAAGCAATTCTTTCTGACGTTGATGCATGTGCAAACAATTAATGTACCTACGATATGGATATCCATTTCCATTTTAGAAAGGGAAAAACCTTATTTAAACCCAACTAGAATTACTTTGCTTTCCTTTGAAAGCTTCTGTTCCCCATCCTCCCACACCCCGTAAGTAATTGGCAAATATAAGAGCGAAAGAGAATACTACGTATTTGCTCTTCTGAACAACTTACAGTGCAGTCATATGGAGCCTGGCACCATGGTCAAGGGGGCTATGGGATAAACCAGAAATCATCTTCCAAAGCCAGAAACAAAACTTTGAACTCAGGAGCGAAGGGTTTCCAGCGTGACAGGCTTGTTCCAGTTCATGCCCCTGTGGATCCTGCTGTGGACCTTTCCTCTCTGACGTTGGGGGGGGAGGGATTACCCAGGAAGTGGCATGGGCAGAGGATGGGGGGGTGGCATTCTGAACAGACAAAATCCATGGCTTTCCAAGCCTCTTGTCCTATCAATCAGAGATACAATACAAGGCTTTTTTGAAGGACTAGCCATGCTGGCTTGAGTATGCTGGGAGTTGTACTCCACAAAATCAGTTTTTCCCTATGTTTGCCTCCGATATGGCAGTAGATGTCAAAAACAAAGAGAACAAAGCTATCCAAAGCTGATCTACATCCTGACAATGGGCGTGTGTTTGTGTGTACCCTTTTGAGGGGACAAACAAGGAGGAAAAGAACAATGGACAGCATTCCTCATGCCATTTAGGATTGTTTGTGCATTCGGTAAGGCTAAGGTGCCATCCCATCATTTCTGAATGGGAAGAATAGGGTTGGATCCAGACCTAGTCATGCTTAAGTCCATAAAAAACTGAAACCAATGGGACATGGAATCCAACAATACACAAAAGATAACATGTCTCTAGAATTGAGAAAGTGCTGGTGGTTTATGGGAGTCACAGCACGCATTTATCTCCGTAAATTGGAGGTTTACTTTGCTTCGTTCTGCAGTTGGCCTTCAGGTCATAAGCACATACTTCTTTTGAGTCAGATATGAACTCTCCATCCTATTTCTTGAATACTAATATGATCCCACTGTCTGCATAACTCAGAATCAACTTGATGACAGGTTATTGTAATGTTTAGTTTAGCCTTTAATGATGTCGTGGCTAATTTAAATGCCATTCATTCCAATAGGCTGATCCAGTTGGATGTCTTCACTAGAAGGGACCCATTGACTAAATGGGGCTTGCTAAATCAACATTAATTTAAACTCCACTCATTGAACAGGTTCCTTCTATTTGGGACTAACAGATGGATTTAATCCAGTGGGCCTGCTTTAAGCATGGCCTGCTCTGGATCTAACCATCTGTGCTTTATGAAGTATTGGTATTTAAGCTTTTGACTTAGAAAAAGGGTGAATGTCTGTGGACCTCTAGAGTCTTTTTTGCCTATGACCTCCAGTGGTATAGCTAGTGGTGCAGGATGTTTTCTATCCTGCACTTAGCTGGCACATATATACAGACAATCAGCATGTAAAGTTATGGAGAAGTTATGCTTAACACAATCCCGTTTCCTTATGTTTATATTTTAGTGTGGGAAATGGGTGCAGCTCCAGCTAGCGGAATCAGTTCCAAATTTATTAGAAATTGGCAGTAATCAAGAAGAGACCAAAAAATTACTGCAAGATCATGAACTTCTGCTGGCTAAGCTTAAGGTAAGACATTGCAACATGAACACCTTGGGATATGACACCGTTGATCTGAAAGATGGGATGGTTGATGTAGACTTCATGTATTTGTAAGAACGTTTAATCACAATCACTCTGCATAAGCTTAAGTAGAATGTCTAGATGTTATTGCAGTGGAGCTAACAATATTTAACAATAACTTGAACGACCTATAGTAATTAAAGGTTTGTTGTTGTTTAGTTGTTAAGTCATGTCTGACTCTTCCTGACCCCATAGACTAGAGCATGCCAGGCCCTCCTGTCTTCCACTGCCTCCTGGAGTTGGGTCAAATTCATGTTGGTAGTTTTGATGACACTGTTCAACTATCTTGTCCTCTGTCGTTCTCTTCGCCTCTTCGCTTCACTTTTTCCCAACATCAGGGTAGTAGATTATAATTAGGTTTTTCTCTTCTAAACAGGCGGAGTGTTTGGATGTATGTGTATGTATTTTAGAATCTTTATACTACCTTCCTTAATAGCTGCACAATCTTTTAGCATATGGGCATTTTAGCATATGGGTTGTCCTCTGTCGTTCTCTTCGCCTCTTCCCTTCACTTTTTCCCAACATCAGGGTAGTAGATTATAATTAGGTTTTTCTCTTCTAAACAGGCGGAGTGTTTGGATGTATGTGTATGTATTTTAGAATCTTTATACTACCTTCCTTAATAGCTGCACAATCTTTTAGCATATGGGCATTTTAGCATATGGGCATTTTAGTATATGGGCAGCTAATTGAAAACATTGGGGCCCATTCACTCCTTGTCTTGATCCACTGCTTACATGCCCTTGCTTCCATGTCCTAGATTTAGCCAGGTTTCAACGATCTGTTGGCATATATTGGCAATGGTGGCATGGCTAGGGAGACCAGGTGAATAATAGAGAGGGTTCCTGTACCCTCAATAATTGTGTGAAGCAATCATTTGCAACCAGTGTAAAAAAGGTAAAGGTAAAGGTTCCCCTTGACAATTTTTGTCCAGTCATGTTCGACTCTAGGTGACGGTGCTCATCCCCGTTTCCAAGCCATAGAGCCAGCTTTTTGTCCAAAGACAATCTTCCGTGGTCACATGGCCAATGCGACTTAGACACGGAACGCTGTTACTTTCCCATCGAGGTGGTCCCTATTTATCTACTTGCATTTGCATGCTTTCAAACCGCTAGGTTGGCGGGAGCTGGGACAAGCGACGGGAGCTCACTCCGTCACGTGGATTCGATCTTACGACTGCTTGGTCTTCTGACCCTGCAGCACAGGCTTCTGCAGTTTAGCCCGCAGCGCCACCACGTCCCTGCAACCAGTGTAGTTTGCATTAAATCAAACCCTCAACCTCTGGCTCCATAGCTAGATACCTAAATCATGGAGCTATCCAGCAGTTGGGACAATGGCATGCCCATCTGTGCTCAATCAAAGAAAAGGAGGAAGCAAATGGTGATGCTAAGGCAGTGATAAAAGGGGTGGAGGATCAGTCCCTGCCCAAGAATGAGGAGGAGGGAGAAATTCCTCCTTAAATAGAGATTCCTGAGGGCTGCATGACCATGTGGTGGAAGCTCTTGAGAACACCTCGGGCTTTGTGAGGGTGGGTAGCAGCAAACTTGTCCTTCTTTGTGCTCCACCACTAAGGGAACTTCCTTGTGGCTGTGATGCCTATCCTGGGTATGAAACTTATCTCTTGCCCTGTATCCTTTTAGAACTTTGGTCCCCAAAGCCATGCAGCAAATCAAGGGGGGGGTTTAATGTGCATTTATCTAGTTTTGCATTGCATATTGAGAAAATTCAGGATTAAAGTAGGCCTATCTTTTCTTCAATGGCCCACTATATAGGAATCAGTGGCATTGTTTAGAGTCTGAAGGGTGGAGCAGACAAGGGCTTTGTGATTCTCAGTGTAAGTAAGACTTAGAAATGCGGACGAAACAAGAGCTTGAAAACCTTTTTTAGAGGCTGTTTTTACTAGGTTTGTGCATAATTAACATTTTTGTATTCATTTCATCTCAAGCACTTTTGGTGGGGGAGGGGCATCTTTTGTTTTCATATTTTTCATGCACAGGGCCTTTCATTTTACATGAAAGGGAGCACCTCTTTGGGGCATTCTGTCTAGTTTTCTCTCCTCATGTTTTCTGACATTGTTAGTCCAAAAGCCCTAAAGAAACCTAAAAAGCTTTTGCAAAAAAAGCAAGGGTGAGGCAAAAGAGCAATCAATCTCCTACAAGAACAGGCAACAATGCATAAGAAAGATACATCATTATCAGACCTATGCGGGCACCCACACATCCCAGATGTGCAGTCATAAAGCCCACCCTCAGAGAAGCAAACAAAGCAGTTCCCCAAATCCCACAAAATATACTCCTTTAACAGAATAAATACACAATAAATTAACAAAATATCAAATTTTAAAAATCAGTCAAACAGGAAAGGCACACATATTCACATGCACACACAGAGAGGGATAAAAATAGTAGGCATGAGAATTTCAGATTCCCCCCCCCAACTACATCTACTAATATTTCTTGCTGATAGAATTTTGGTAGCTTTAGCCAAAATACCCAAGTCCTTGGAGGAGTTTCAGTATATATGCACGTGCAGGCCTTGGCAAGTTTCCCACTGCAGCCATTAAGCATGGAGAAGAAAGGCCTAGGAAGAGCTTTCTAAACTCCATGGGAACTGGCAGACATTAGGGTTTGAGAGACATCCTCTACATCAGGGGTCCTCAAACCCCGGTCTGCAGCCTGGTGCCGGGCCGTGGGCTTGCCAGAACTGGGCCACAGATATGGATCTCTGCCCCCCTCTGCACACATGCACGGCGGGCATGTCATGCTCACAGCGGGCATGTCGCACTCATGGCGGGCGTGTCGCACTTGCACGGGGCCATATCACACTCGCAGCGGGTGTGTCATGCTCATGTGACACGCCCACCAAACAAGCGTGGCACACCCAACAAGCAAGTGCGGGTGTGCTCCCCCCCCGCACATGGAGCTCGCTCCCCCCAGCTGGTCTGCAGCCCCAAAAAGGGTATACAAACAACACCCCTCCACCAAAATTACTTGTGATTGACTGCTAATAGCAGCTTTCACAATGCTAAGAGACTCGTCCTCCTGCCTCCTTACTGGAGTGGTCGGCTGTGGGGAGAGGCAGGGAAGCGCCAGCAGGACTACTTCTGCGATTGGCACAATAATGCTGACTGACACACATACCGTGCAGAGCCCAGTGAGTGGACCAGGCTGGTTCGGGGGGGGGCAGGAATGGACCACCATGGCATCTGTGGTGCCATATTTTGTATTTGTATCCCCTGGATATGCCTATGAAGCTCCCATGTCTAATTAGATGAAAAATACCTGTAAGAGTTAAACACAGACACACACACACACATACAATGAAATGTTCGTGTATCCCACTTTTGTTAGTAGGAATAATTCTTCCAGAAAGCAACAAAACAACACAGAAAAGAAAAACAGTGCTTTTTTTCCCTTTTGTGTAAACACAGAAGGCAAGTAGAAGTAATGAATAACCATTACTCATTAAGCAAAAAATAAAGATACATAATTTTATTAAAGTATTTTCGAAAGAAATGCTGTGGCCTCATTGAATGAAATGATAATACTATACAGTAATGTGTTACAGGCAGTAAGTTCAGGTGCTGTTTAACTTCCAGGTTCTCTCCAAAGCAGACTTATTTATATATAATTGACAGAATATATGTGGGAAAGGAATGAGTGACTAATGGCTTTACAATAAAACCAGTCTCTGTTTTACCAGCAGTGCCATTAATCAGCCTGCCCATAATCCCCAGTTCCCCACATGCATTGTGACATTGGTATTGGCATGCTTTGTGCACATTACTTTTAATACATAGGAGGTTTAAACACTTATCTGTTAAATTAAATTTTGGTACGCATGGTAGCTGTAGATCACACGGAGCGGTGGTGATGATGTTTTGTGTGATGTTAAGCCACACCGTGCCAACACTGTTATGCAGCATAAAGAATAGCCACAGATTGTGTAGCTTGCTGGAGGCAAAATATGTAATTCTTTTATTTAGGGCACGGAACAATTGGAAAGAAATGTTTCATTACAGTTCAGGATTGTAAGCCTCTGTGAATTGGGTTTTTGAAAGGAGTAGAGGAGGAATTTTTTTAAAAAAATTCTTCAGGCACAAATCTCTGGCAAAAATAAAGAGGATTGTTTGAGCCCCAATATGATTCAAAGATATTCTAAAGAAATACATACTAGTTTCAGCGTTATTATCTCTCACCTAGTAATAAATCGTAAAGATTGTGCTTTGGTGGGTTTTTTTTTAATGGCAACATCATTATTCCAGCAGGTCATTCACCAATGCTATAGTTCTGCACCTGAATCCTGCCATCTTCCAAAAGAAAGCTTGATATCTCTATTTGTGCCTTTAATCCAAGCAAATAATATGTAGTGGCAAATGTGTGGTGAAAATTTTGATTCTGGAATGTGTTTCCTGGGGGGAATTGTTCATAGCACATCAATGATGAGAAACGCCTTGTTGTGCAGAAGACCTGTCCCTTTAAACAACCTAGCTTGATTAAGTCCAGTCAATCTGTGCTTTGCGGAAGGAAGTATTGGTTTAAATGAGCTTTTCCGGTGTAAGCAGAGGCCTTTCCTCTTTAGAGCATCAAAGAGTGGAGCTTACTTCTTCTACTTACCTGAGGTGGAAGTTAAAAGTTGTGGTAAAGGTAAAGGTAAAGGTTCCCCTTGACCCTTTTTGTCCAGTCGTGTTCGACTCTAGGGGGCGGTGCTCATCCCCGTTTCCAAGCCATAGAGCCAGCGTTTTGTCCGAAGACAATCTTCCGTGGTCACATGGCCAGTGCGACTTAGACACGGAATGCTGTTACCTTCCCACCGAGGTGGTCCCTATTTATCTACTTGCATTTGCATGCTTTTGAACCGCTAGGTTGGCGGGAGCTGGGACAAGCGACGGGCGCTCACTCCGTCACGTGGATTCGATCTTACGACTGCTTGGTCTTCTGACCCTG